CTCACCTCTTTGTTAATCAGTGATCGACACAGCTGCTCTCTGTTGGGAAGTTCTTGTTACTGCTGCCGTCTACCTGCTGGCCCGCTGTCGGCTGACAACTCATCCTAAACTGTAAGTTTTCTTTGATGATTTGTGCTGTAGATTCATCAGTCTGGTAGTGGGTTGTGGTTACTGTTGTCTGCTGGTGGGTTGTGGTTACTGTTGTCTGATGGTGGGTTGTGGTTACTGTTGTCTGCTGGTGGGTTGTGGTTACTGCTGTCTGCTGGTGGGTTGTGACTCCTGCTGTCTGCTGGTGGGTTGTGGCTACAGCTGTCTGCTGGTGGGTTGTGACTACTGCTGTCTGCTGGAGGGTTGTGGCTACAGCTGTCTGCTGGTGGGTTGTGGTTACTGTTGTCTGCTGGTGGGTTGTGGCTACAGCTGTCTGCTGGTGGGTTGTGACTACTGCTGTCTGCTGGTGGGTTGTGACTACTGTTGTCTACTGGTGGGTTGTTGCTACAGCTGCCTACTGTTGGGTTGTGACTACTGCTGTCTACTAGTGGGTTGTGACTACTGCTGTATGCTGGTGGAGTGTGGTTACAGCTGTCTGCTGATGGGTTGTGGCTACTGTTGTCTACTGTTGGGTTGTGCCTACTGCTGTCTGCTGGTGGGTTGTGGTGTTTGCTGTCTGCTGGTGGGTTGTGGTTACTGCTGTCTGCTAGTGGGTTGTGGTTACTGCTGTCTGCTGGTGTGTTGTGGTTACTTCTGTCTGCTGGTGGGTTGTGGTTTCTGCTGTCTGCTGATGGGTTGTGGTTACTGCTGTCTGCTGGTGTGTTAAGGCTAGTGATGTCTGCTGGTGGGTTTTTGTTACTGGTGTCTGCTGGTGGGTTGAGGTTATTGGTGTCTGCTGGTGGGTTAAGGTTAATGGTGTCTGCTGGTGGGTTAAGGTTAATGGTGTCTGCTGGTGGGTTAAGGTTAATGGTGTCTGCTGGTGGGTTAAGGTTAATGGTGTTATTATTCCCCACATGACATGGCACCCAGTTGATAAATACCCGTCGGCCTTGTCGTTTGAGTGTTTGCATTAATGATATGACATTTGTGATCAGATGTATGTTATCACGTATGTGTTCTTGTTGCAAGGTTTCAATGGCAGTTCTCGAATCTGTATGAATGATAACATGTTGTCGGTGTTGTGCAAGAGCATGTTCCAAAGCCTTTTGAATGGCTAGCATCTTTATTTGTAAAGTCGAACACCTATTTGAGTCTCCAACTATTTACAGAGTTTCCTGCAGCTCCGGTTTCTTGTCTGTGCTGGTCTACTGATCCATCTGTGAAGTATGTGAAGCTGTCAGATGCCAAGTTTGCTTTGATATGCCTCTGTGCAATGTTACGTAACATGTGATGATTAGTCTGGTTCCTTTTTCCTTCAAGAGATATAATCTTAAAGTCTGCTGGCAGCGATTCCCAAGGAGCTTGCATAAAAAAGTCTGCATGTATTTCGTCGACACCCCTCTCAGTTATTGTGTTTGTTATATCGAATGTATTGATGGTATCTATCGCACAATGGGGGTCACCTGTTGCTATTGGAGGCTCTTCTGTCCAGAGTTAGTGCTCCAGTGATTATATCTTTGAGTGAACTGATTCTTGGTCTAGTCAATATTTTGGTCAGCATTCACGCAGCAATCCCTTATACCCTTATTTCAATCGACATTAGCTTGGTTTCTAGTCTTAAGATCAGTATTTTAGTTCATCTGGAAGCTCTGGTTATGACTTGCATTGCATCGTTTTGAATAACCTCAACGTTTGTCCACTGACTGTGGTTACTGCTTTCTGATGGTGGGTTTTAGTTACTGGTGTCTGCTGGTGGGTTGTGGTTACTGCTGTCTGCTGGTGGGCTGTGGTTACTGGTGTCTGCTGGTGGGTTGTGGTTACTGCTGTCTGCTAGTGGGCTGTGGTTACTGGTGTCTGCTGGTGGGTTGTGGTAACAGGTGTCTACTGGTTGGTTGTGGTTACAAGTGTCTGCTGGTGGGTTGTGGTTACTGCTGTCTGCTGGTGGGCTGTGGTTACTGGTGTCTGCTGGTGGGTTGTGGTAACAGGTGTCTACTGGTTGGTTGTGGTTACTGCTGTCTGCTGGAGGGTTGTGTTTACTGCTGTCTACTGGTGGGTTGTGGTTACTGCTGTCTGCTGGTGGGTTGTGGTTACAGGTGTCTGCTGGTGGGTTGTGGTTCCTGCTGTCTGCTGGAGGGTTGTGGTTACTGCTGTCTTCTGGTGGTTTGTGGTTACTGCTGTTTGCTGGTGGGTTGTGGTTACTGCAGTTTGCTAGTTGGTTCTGGTTACTGCTGCTGTCTGATGGCAGCTCACTCTTAACTGTGTTTTCCTTGATGGTCTTTTGATAATTTCTATATGATTAAATTGTTTAAATACAAATGTGTATTCACAAGCATGTGTGTACAAAAACATAAGAGTAATGTACAACTGTTGGGACAGGAGTTGCATGAACTAATGAAGCCACTATTACACAAAACGTTTCCCGCAAAACTTAAAATATGTTGGAAGAACATAAAATTTGTGAAGTTCAAGAAAAATAACAGATGAATTCAATTATAGGTGACACTTAATTTAATTAAGGATGACAGACATTGACTATTACAATAGTCAAGTTCAAGCCTGTAGGGTCTGTAGTTCAAGCAACAGTTTATTTACTTTAATAACAGAACGGAAATACAGGGTGTAGTTTAGAGAAGCAACTGGACTCTTCCTCAACATTTTCATGGAACATTACAGATCATAGAGTAATATAATGTATTAAAAGGTTAAGGTTAATTAATCGGGCCACTAGGTACGACATATATATATATATATATATATATATATATATATATATATATATATATATATATATATATATATATATATATATATATATATATATATATATATATATATATATATATATATATATATATATATATTAGTATATTTTGGTAGCAGTCTTTCCTGTAGACATATATTATTAAATATGACCGAAAAAGTAAGATTAATAATTCTAACACGAATTTTCTCAATCTTTCGTACATTACGCTTCACTGTTGGAGGTAAATAAAAAATCACTTCTCCAAAATTCATTTTTATTTCTACTCTGACGCGACACGGGCGCGTTTCGTAAAACTTATTACATTTTCAAAGACTTCACAAATACACAACTGATTAGAACTTACGTCTCTCTGATATTATATCTACATTTGAGTGAGGTGGGAAGGGTGATGTGGCATTAACACAAGACAGAACAGGAGGGGATATTAATAGGGTATTAAAAGTATCAACACAAGACAGAACAGAAACAATGGGTATTGAATAGAAGTGTTTGTAGAAAGCCTATTGGTCCATATTTCTTGATGCTTCTATATTGGAGCGGAGTCTTGAGGTGGGTAGAATATAGTTGTGCAATAATTGGCTGTTGATTGCTGGTGTTGACTTCTTGATGTGTAGTGCCTCGCAAACGTCAAGCCGCCTGCTATCGCTGTATCTATCGATGATTTCTGTGTTGTTTACTAGGATTTCTCTGGCGATGGTTTGGTTATGGGAAGAGATTACATGTTCCTTAATGGAGCCCTGTTGCTTATGCATCGTTAAACGCCTAGAAAGAGATGTTGTTGTCTTGCCTATATACTGGGTTTTTTGGAGCTTACAGTCCCCAAGTGGGCATTTGAAGGCATAGACGACGTTAGTCTCTTTTAAAGCGTTCTGTTTTGTGTCTGGAGAGTTTCTCATGAGTAGGCTGGCCGTTTTTCTGGTTTTATAGTAAATCGTCAGTTGTATCCTCTGATTTTTGTCTGTAGGGATAACGTTTCTATTAACAATATCTTTCAGGACCCTTTCCTCCGTTTTATGAGCTGTGGAAAAGAAGTTCCTGTAAAATAGTCTAATAGGGGGTATAGGTGTTGTGTTAGTTGTCTCTTCAGAGGTTGCATGGCTTTTCACTTTCCTTCTTATGATGTCTTCGATGAAACCATTGGAGAAGCCGTTATTGACTAGGACCTGCCTTACCCTACAGAGTTCTTCGTCGACTTGCTTCCATTCTGAGCTGTGGCTGAGAGCACGGTCGACGTATGCGTTAACAACACTCCTCTTGTACCTGTCGGGGCAGTCGCTGTTGGCATTTAGGCACATTCCTATGTTTGTTTCCTTAGTGTAGACTGCAGTGTGGAAACCTCCGCCCTTTTCCATGACTGTTACATCTAGAAAAGGCAGCTTCCCATCCTTTTCCGTCTCGTAAGTGAAACGCAGCACGGAACTCTGCTCAAATGCCTCCTTCAGCTCCTGCAGATGTCTGACATCAGGTACCTGTGTAAAAATGTCGTCAACATACCTGCAGTATATGGCCGGTTTCAAGTTCATGTCGACTAAGACTTTTTGCTCGATGGTACCCATGTAGAAGTTTGCAAACAGGACACCTAGGGGAGAACCCATGGCGACCCCATCTACTTGCTTATACATGTGCCCAACCGGGCTCAAGAAGGGTGCCTCTTTAGTACAAGCTTGGAGTAGTTTCCTCAGAATACTTTCTGGCATGTCAAGAGGAGTACAGGCTGGATCACGATACACTCTGTCGGCTATCATTCCGATTGTCTCATCCACAGGTACGTTGGTAAACAGCGATTCTACGTCCAACGAGGCTCTTATCCCTGTGGCCCGTGTGCCCCGCAGTAAGTCCACAAATTCCTTTGGAGACTTCAGGCTGAAGGCGCAAGGAACATAAGGAGTCAGCAGGCCGTTGAGTCGCTTCGCCAGTCTGTACGTGGGTGTGGGTATCTGGCTAATGATTGGCCGAAGTGGGTTTCCAGGCTTGTGCGTCTTGACATTTCCATACGCATATCCAGGTTTATATTCCCCAATGATCTTTGGCAGGTGGAGTCCGGATTTCTTGGCGTTCACAGTTTCGATCAGTTTGTTGACCTTTGCTTTTAATTCGGCTGTAGTGTCCTTCGTTACCCTTTGGAACTTAGTTTGGTCAGAGAGTATGATGTTCATTTTCGCCAGATATTCGTCTTTTTTAAGAATGACATATATTGGCGACTTGTCACCTCTCCTGACAACTATCTCCTTGTTCTCACGAAGGCTTTTAGCTGCCGCTT